AGCAGAAACACCAATATTTTAACAATATTATGAGCTTGGAACTTGGGAGATCAAAACAGTATTATTGGATTATCCAAGTTTCCCAGTACAGATTTCAAGATTAATAAATTGCATTAATCTTATAGTAATGGTAATAATGAATATATTGTAACACACTTTTTGTGAGCAAATTGGGAAAAAAAGGAAAATCTAATAAGTAATTAAACAAAGAAAGAAATGATCAAACAGACAAATGCTTCCTTCCTTAATTAGGTAAATCATGTTTGAATCAATCGGAAGTTTATAGAAAAATATATAAGCACAAGTTCCAATATATATTGCACACACACACACACACAGAGCTACAATCACATTAAAACAATTAGAAGAAAATTTATAACATTAGTATTACAGCAACAACAAGCATAAGATATACAATTAATCTAGCAAATGGTCCAAAAATCGCCGTTGTAATTGACCCAGCTTGGTGGGTAAAATTTCTGCTGTTTATTTCTGATCAACCATAATCATAATGTATACTTAATTTAGAGCCTCATTCATGTAAAACAAATTAGTACTAATTGGACATCATAATCATAATTAATGATCGTCTTAATTCTACACATGGCTTATAATTACAGCTTGCATTAGCTGACTGTACGGACGCTATTTTAAGGGATTCATGATCAGATTCTATAAAATGCCTCTAGTACACTCAGAAACTTGCTTCAAATAATCCCCACCGACATAAAAGGTAAATTGATCAGTACTGAGAGTTTTTTTAGTACTATATGTAATAATCCTATTTGCTACCAAAAAAAAAATCTTATTGGACAAAAACATATATTGCATTCAAGATTTTCTTGCAAGGGCGGGGCCGGAAAAGCTGGTTTTTCCTTCAAATTTCTAGTACAGAAAATACTTTCCGACATTCTCAACTTTTATCAAGCAAAGTCACACAATACTTGAATATCTTCAAGAAATATATATACACACTATACATATACACACATATATAAAACAAAACAAGAAATAATAATCCATAATCGTATCGAAAAAATATGTTCACCTAATTAATTTGACGGAAAACTTTGTTATTTATCCTCTAATCGGCAGTCAAAGTACTCAGAAACTTTGTCCAGACTCTCACATATGTAGTATTAGAAAAAAAAAGGAAAAAAAAAAGAAATACAAAGCCCTATAATTCATGATCACAAGCCAAATTTGTCATCAATAAACGGAGTGAAAGTCATGAAAGAAAGAAAGAAGCTAATTTGATCATGTAGATCTAGTGCACTGCCAAATTACAGAATCACAAAAGGAGAAAGTTATAAATTCTATTTCATAGATTATTATAAGATAGAAAAAGTTTGAATCTTTTCATGCACCTATATAGATGAAGAAGATGATCACGACCTCCACCCATTTAAACAATTGTCGATCGATGGTGATGATCATGAGAACTGTATATATATTTGTTATTTCTTCTCTCCTGATCTTCCTCCTTTCGATTCATACATAGAGAGACAAATACAAGTTATTTTTCAAAAAAAAAAAAAAAAAGGAAAAGAAAAGAAACAAAAGGGTATATATATTTCTTTGCAGAAATCTAACGACATATAATATATGTAAAATATTCTTTACCCAATATTAGAAGGTACATGAGAGAACTAAAACTAGAATTACTAATGCCTGGCTCCATCCTGTCTGCCTTTTTTTTTTTTTTTTTTTTTTTCTAACTCTCTAACAAGGAATGGCTTTGTGTGTTTGGTGTTGTTTCTATATGGAGAAGAACTGCATTGTAGTACTACTATACTACTCTTCAAATATCCTCATCATCTTTGTGATTAAAACGACAATGATTCACAAGGGGAATGTCTTCAAATGTGCTTCTTTTCTTCTTTGTTGCAGAGGATAGTTTGGTCATTTCGCACGGGAATACATACATATATACATACATGTACATATACATACACGAAGTGGTAATGAGTGAGTTTGTGGAAGAGAAGAAGAGAAGAAGAAAGTAGTGCTTGTCCTCTTGAGCCATTATACTTTAGACTTATCTTTACCCTCACCCCCACCAAAGTTTATTGAATTCTCTCTCTCTCTCTCTCTCTCTCTCTCTCTCTCTAGAAGAGGGTCAGATGAGTTAGACCTAGAGAGAGAGAGAGAGAGAGAGAGAGAGAGAGAGAGGGCCCAGATGAGGAAGAAAAGAAGGGCTTGTGTCTATTTTGTGCATAAGAAAACTTAATTTGGAAAGAGGGTTTGTATTTATGGAATTGAGTAGTGGACGGTGAGAAGCTATTTTCAGCGTACGTTTGGTCCGTCTTTTGGTAAGACACAAAATGTGCCTTTCCCCGGTCCCATTTTCAACCTCTTAATTATTCTATTTTTATTCTCATTTTTGGGTCACACTAAACTGACCTAACAACTCATTAGCTTATTCCCATCGATCTTATAAGGTCAAGTTTTATTTTGGTGACAAGAATTCATTTGATGGGTTTAATAAATCTCTTAACGGGGTCTTTCACTAGTAGGACATCCCTACCGGCCGTAATGTGAGTTTCTAACAGTTAATCTAATCAAAATTAAATTAAATTGAAAAAGTGTGTAAAATGCACAGTTTTTTTTTATACGGATATGAAGGCTGAAAATGGAACATTTGGATATTTTATTTTTTTGTAGTGTCTACTAAAAAAAAATCTCCTAATCTCTTTTGTTTTATTATAACAGATGTAAGTAGCTGTTGCAAACATAAGCCTCTATTGACTGGCTAGTACTAGATCTTGAATTTTGGAAGTGGATCAGTAACTTTCCCTTAATTACATATATTTGAATTTTGAATTTCGGAAGTAATGATCAATTCAAAAGGAAGGGAGATTAGAGCAAAAAAGTTATTTGAGTACTCTTAATTACATATATTTGCCTACGAGAAAACGCGATTAAAGTCATATAACAACTCAATTAGTTTCACATCTGAATCGGCAAAAAGACGAGAAAAAAAAAGAGAAGAATTCTTTAGTAGGCACTGAAAAAATAAATTACCGAAAAATTTCTATTTTATCCGTTATTAGAAACTGTACTATGTTGTTAGGGCGGTAAAGATTAAAGAGGGTCTATCAGAGAAAGATAAAATAAAAAAAAAAAAAAAAAGGAAAACATATTTGTTATTGGATTTAGGCATATAATAATATAATAATGGTTCAAAGAGACATCCACCCTCTTTGAAAATGAAAAGGAAGGGAAAAGATGTTGTGCCTTGAACGTCAAATGATTCTCTACTAACATTCAAAGAAACCCATCAAAGCTCTCTCCACAATGTGCGACACCAAAAGCGACGTGCAGATTTCTAGAAAGCCCAATTTTATTATTATTATTTTTTAAAGTGCTGGTATTGCTGGAAACAAGATATATGCCGACAAAATAGTTCAAAAGAGTCCTCGCCGGATTATCAACGCTTTTACCAATTTGCTTATTTTCTTAATTCACTTAAGTACTAATTAAAGAAAGCAGCGTGAACAACTACACTATCAAGGACATTATTATTATTATCAATGTTGTTATCATATATTCTTTTCATATCTGAAGAAGATAATGTTTTCTTTCTGAAAAGCCTTAAAAATTCGGTTGATGAATACTTCATTATGCTATGTTGTCCTTTTTGGGTTTTACTTTAGTATTTTTGCTATTATTTTTTTTTGGCTTGGATAGATTTCTCTCCACTTGAAGCAGAAAACAACTGGAAACCCAAAAGCAGACGAGCGAATTACTGAACTTATCTTTAAAGAGTGCATGAGTCTTTATTTTTATTCTTTTTATTAATATAGTTATTTGACTAAAAGAATATTAATCAAGAGTAAAAAGTAAAAATCTAAACTCATACACTTTATAATAGGATATTTGTTTTCTTTTTCCTAAAAAAAAAAAATCGAGTCTAAATTGTTCAGGGGGTATAAATTATAAATAATTACATAAAATATCTCTTTTAGAACTTTATATTTAAAAATGTCTACTATTACAAAATATTACAAATATATATGCAGGTTTTAATAATATTTCTAATAAATAGCAAATTTATAAGGTTATTTATTTTATTTTTTATTAGTTCATAAATAATTTATCAAAGATTAGTAAACAGGAGTCCATTTTTACTTTGAAACCTTTTATTTTTCAATTTCACCCTCTTTTGTAGGGCTATTTTTTCCCTAAAAAAAACCCTACACAGCTTTTAATTTGCTAATGAAGAAGGACAAACTTTGTATATATATCTTTTGGTTTGCTAATTAGTAAGACAGAATTTGTTCAATAGGTCGGTAAGTTAGGGATACAATATTATGAATAGCTGGGAACACAACTGCTTGGAAATAGAATCCACGGCTTCATTAAGAAAATTTATAATATTGTCATGAGAATAAATTCTTTATTACTTCTTAGCGTAACTGAGTTCTCAAAGTACTATCTGATTTTAGATATAAAAAATCCCCCGTTATATTAATAAGAGGATCACAAACAAATTATCCATTGGAGAATTATAAGCGAAACTCATGAATATATATAAATATAATCCGAGAGATTAATTAAATGAAATTTATAATCAATCTCTAATTGAATTTTAAAGCTTCGTCGTAATATTGATAATTATGTAGTATATATTATTTTATCACATCCATTACCATGTTCGTAGCTATATAATATTCTTGATAATTATTAAGGATTTGGTTGCCATGTTTGCACCTATTCATGGTAATTATTACAATGATCAGTAATAGTTACGAAACAACAAATAAATTAACAATGAATCTCACATCAAACGTATCACATCAAACTGGTATATATAGGACAAAGTCCGGCTTTGAGATGAATAACTCACTAATAAATCTTTAAGATAAATCCAAACATAAACCAACTAAAAGATAAATACTAGAACTATCAATAAATTAAAAGTTGTATATGATTCCTTAATACAACAGTTTCTTATTGTAGAGTATTTTTTTTTGACTAAGATTTTGCAGAGTAATTAATCAAAGTGGTTCTTTAGAGATCCATCTTTTGAACATGGCAAAGCACTCCTTAGGCTTAAACTCAGGAGCTGTATGTGCACCACCCTACAACGCAACACAAAACAGTTTGTAAAATACAACTCAATACACACATGTATAGGTACAAATATATGAATTTATTTTGATTTTTTATTTATTTTTTAATTCATTCTCTCCTCCTTTGTGAAGTTTCTTATAGAAAGATTATTAATATATCTTAGCTTATTAAAACCAATTTCTAGTTGTTGGGGAGAAGCAATTCTTGCCTTGATGGTGGTGAAAGTAATATATATATATATATATATATATATAAGTAATCCAATTTGAAGTTGAAGAAATAAACTACTAGCTTACCCTGCAACTTGGTCATCAACTAGCCACGGCCTCCACTGACCAACAACGGGAATATTCAGAGACTTGATCCATGCTTGGGTTGCAATGTAAGGGACTACCATGTCATGATCTCCACTGTAGAAAGAAAATCACATTTCTTTTAAGATCTCATAATAAAAAATTTATCAAACTAGGGAGATTTTATTAACCTTCTTCGGACCATTAATGAAGCCGGGTATATATATCTTAGTGCTTTATAATTATTATTATTATTATTTTTTTTTTTTTGGCAATTTGTACCAAAAGTTTTTGAACTTCTCGTCATTTGCAAATTGTATCTTATACTTTTAAGTTTGATATTCAGAACCCTAAATTTAACAATCCTTCTCAATGCAATCCAATAGATATTGTATGTTAATTAATAGATGACCATACCGTTTTTTAAATGAGTGGAATCGGGCTATTTTGTTGTTTTAAAAAATAGTTTTTAGGTTTTCTCATGTATATAGGGAAGCTAATTGTTGTGTTGATAAATGGCCAATCATGGAGTGAAGAATAGATATAGGATGTGGTGGACTTCTTGTTTCGATTCTCTTAATATTTTGGTGTATAGCTAGAGATGTTTTGGGATTTCCTTTTACTGATTCTCTTGATTGAGTTTCTATTTTTGTTTTTATATTCTTTTCTTTCTTTAATAATATTCTCCTCTTTCTGAGGAAGTTTCATTAAAAAACAATCAAATAATAGATTTGGTATCATTTGTGTAGAAATTGTTAAACGTTTCCATCCATTAACAAGTGCACATTAGCTATTGGATCAAAAGTGCAACAGATTTTTAATTTAGGGTCGTTATTGTTAAAATTGAAAGTTTAGAGTTCAACTTACTAAACACTGAGAAATTACTAACGACAAAAAAAAAAAAAAAAAAAAAAAAAAAAAAAAACACAATTTTTTAAAAAGGGAACTATTGTTAAAATTGAAAGTTTAGAGTTCAACTTACTAAACACTGAGAAATTACTAACGACAAAAAAAAAAAAAAAAACAAAAAAACAAAACCACATGCTTTCATAAGGGTAGCCAAACCTGTATATTAGAGTCCGATAACCTCGTGAGCTGAGACGCTGATGATAGCTAACAACACTATTAAGTTGCCTCTTGTAAGGTAGGTTTTTAGGGCATCTTATCCATATCTTTTTGGTTCCCTAGTTCATCATTTTGTACAAAGTCAAAGCAAAACTCGTGGTAAGACTTTTATCAATCTCTTCCTAATTAGATTGCTCTTTGTATATAGCCAAGATCAGAATTTCTCTTACTTTATGAACATGAAGAGCGCTTTGAACAGCTTCATCATTTGCCCAGAAATGGACCAACATGGTGTTATAATTCTTCAAAAGAATTTGATCAATGATCAGTTAAAAGAAACATCTCTGGACTTTTTTTAATGTAACAAATAGGATTAATGAGATCTGAAAAATAATATCGGATTTACCGTGCACCCCAAATCAGGAAAATCAGATGACTTCTCTAAGAGTGATTTCCGATAATTAAACTCCATCTTTCCATTTGCAGTAAAGATTGAATCGCACTTACGCTCCAAGATTTGTAGGAAGTTTAAATCTTTAGTGCACTTTCAACAAAACAAAAAAAGGCAAAAATATCATAAGTAAATCATGTGAGTGCCAAAAATTAAGAAAAAAAAGGATTATCATCTAAATTTACTTAAAATGAGGGAAAGTTGTTCTTACGAAAGAGATAGCATTAAGATCATGGGCACATAGCGTATTGTTGTTGTGCTTTCCTTGGTACTGACCTTTGCAATTCTTCTTCACCGACTGAAATATCAATCAAAATGACTACTTTAATGGCATGTTTACTACTAATCCGTAATCAGAGTGGACATGAATCAGAGTGGACAGAATTCAGAGTGGACAGAATTCAGAGTCAGGAATCGGAGTCAGAATAAGCAGTTTACTTAGGTTCTAGGAATCGGAGTCAGAATCAGTCACAATCTCATTCATATGTTTACTTACACCCTTAATCAAAATAAACAGTACTTACCTACTCTTTTGGTAAATTTTTGTGTGTTGAACTTTTAAAAAAAATTGTATATTATGCTAAAATAAAAACAAATGGTTAATCATATATATATATATTGATAAAATAAAAGGTATTAATGGTTAAAATAAAATCATTTTGCACAAAGTCAAAGCAAAACTCGTGGTAAGACTTTTATCAATCTCTTCCTTAGATTGCTCTTTGTAAATAGCCAAGATCAGAATTTCTCTTACTTTATGAACATGAAGAGCGCTTTGAACAGCTTCATCATTTGCCCAGAAATGGACCAACATGGTGTTATAATTCTTCAAAAGAATTTGATCAATGATCAGTTAAAAGAAACATCTCTGGACTTTTTTTAATGTAACAAATAGGATTAATGAGATCTGAAAAATAATATCGGATTTACCGTGCACCCCAAATCAGGAAAATCAGATGACTTCTCTAAGAGTGATTTCCGATAATTAAACTCCATCTTTCCATTTGCAGTAAAGATTGAATCGCACTTACGCTCCAAGATTTGTAGGAAGTTTAAATCTTTAGTGCACTTTCAACAAAACAAAAAAAGGCAAAAATATCATAAGTAAATCATGTGAGTGCCAAAAATTAAGAAAAAAAAGGATTATCATCTAAATTTACTTAAAATGAGGGAAAGTTGTTCTTACGAAAGAGATAGCATTAAGATCATGGGCACATAGCGTATTGTTGTTGTGCTTTCCTTGGTACTGACCTTTGCAATTCTTCTTCACCGACTGAAATATCAATCAAAATGACTACTTTAATGGCATGTTTACTACTAATTCGTAATCAGAGTGGACATGAATCAGAGTGGACAGAATTTAGAGTGAATAGAAATCAGAGGCAGGAATCGGAGTCAGAATAAACAGTTTACTTAGGTTCTAGGAATCGGAGTCAGAATTAGTCACAATCTCATTCATATGTTTACTTACACCCTTAATCAAAATAAACAGTTATAAATTTACTTACCTACTCTTTTGGTAAATTTTTGTGTGTTGAACTTTTAAAAAAAATTGTATATTATGCTAAAATAAAAACAAATGGTTAATCATATATATATATTGAAATAAAATAAAAGGTATTAATGGTTAAAATAAAATATATATAAATGGTTAAAAAGTATTAATCATAAAATTTTGAAATAAAAAAAATATATATATATATTGTGCATTTTGATTTTGCTATTTTCTCTCCTTCATATCTGATTCACTCTCTTCTAATGTAAATGGTTGACCCAATTTTATTTTTTTAACAAAAAAAAAAGACTCCGATAATTAATTGATTTTTCTTTATCAAGAAATAAAACCAACCCTCTGTCTTTAATCAATTCTCTTTCTTTCTTTCACCAAAAAAAAAAAAAAGAAACTCCCTCTATCTGCTCTAACCCATATTTCTATTTTTCTATTTCTGGTATTTTCTTCTCCTTCCTCTATTCGATTTCACTCTCTCCTTTGTAAATCTAAATAGTTGACTAGTTTTTTTTTTTTTTTTTGAAAAGACTCTGATACTTAATTGTCACTCTACAAGCAACATGAGTAGACTTTTTCATAAAAAAAAAAAGAAATTAAAAAGAGGTACATACCTGCATTTTTGCAACAAGGTATTGTGATTCAGCAAAAGGAAAAAAATGAAATAAAATAAATTAAAACAGAGTATAGTGTACATCAGTTACCATGGAAGGAAAGAGGAAAAGTAAAAATGCAAACTACGATCAAAGAAGATTATTTCAACTGGTCTTGAAATGTCTTTAGGATTAGGTAAGTAAACATAGAGTTGATTCTGATTCTTAATTTTCATTCCCCACTCCTGGTAAGTAAACATGTTATAAATTTTGAACAAACATTTTCAAAATTTTACCCCCCAAATTTATATGCACGTATTTATTTTTTGAAGGAAACTTTACTTTAAAATGTGATATTATTTTCTTCTCCCTATGATTTCTAAAATTATATATTAGTTTTAAAATTTTCGTCCAATTCCATGAAATGATTGAATCCCCTAATCTATGAACCTTATCTCAGAAATGCCCTTGATCCATTCATCGTTTTTGTCAATTTGTGGCTAAACCTTTTGACATTGATTGAGGTTGAAGTTTCTTCCTATATAATAAATACCCATAATTAACCGCTTAAGCTTGTAAATTTGAGAAAAAAATTGATAATTAGTTGCACCAAAATATTTTTTTATCTTGATAATTGTAAAAGGGTCCCATCTGCTACTTATTAAAAAAAGATTGACATAAGAAATTCACGAAATTTGCCCTCAATTGCCTCAAATAATTGACAATCAATGTTGGAGAAGAATTGGACCTCCGACAGAAGTTTGGGGAGTAAATTGTAACAAGTATGATAATTTCAGGGGAAAATTTTAAAATTGTCATAAGCTTTTATAGACAAAAAAAAAAAACATTTTTATAATTAGTTGTTTATGGATTAATAATACAAACAAAATTAATATTCTGACCTCATAGAGTTCATCCGATATAAGTCCCATGTGATGAGCAAATGGAACCCTTGAATTCCATTCAAGATTTATATCCGTCACCGGGTTCCCCAACAAATAACCCTGGATGTAAAGGGTTTTAATAACCAGGATCTAAATAACAAGAATTCGGCAGTAATTAATATTGTACAAAGAAACATACCTGGAAATTAAATTCTGGGGTGTTGCCGGCTTCTATACCTACAGTATCACAACAAGTAATGTCATTTTGCTTCCTACTTACAGACCTAAATTAAAGATAATATGCCCATTTCAGGTTTTATATGACATTACTCTTTGCTACTTCTTCAGCAATTATAGGGACTATAAGGCCAGCATATGAATCTCCACCTATATAGAGTGGATTTGAGATGAACTTTGGGTGAGCAAGTAGCCACTGCCAAACCAAGCAAAAGCACATATAGTGATTAAAAAAATAAAAAAAAATAAAAAGCTTAGTTTAAGTGTCATGAGAACATCAATAAAATATGCTTCTAAGCCTAGCACCAAAAAAGAATAGTTTAGTTCTTGTAGAGATGAAAATGGGGTGAGGTGGGAAATGATTTCCTATTCTCATCCCCGCTCTCCAAGATCATTCTCATCCCCACCCCGATCCCCGCTTAAAGAGAGGCGGGTCAGGGAGTGCTTCCTCATTCGCCGCTCTATTACAACACGGGAACAATATTTTATTCTCATTTCCGTCTCCGTCTCCGTCTCTGATTATTGTCCTTTTTTCCCACCTTTTTCAGGGCAAATTCCCGCAGTTCTCAGTCCCCGTAGGGCTCTGATCTGCAAGTTTTTGAGTTGACATGAACTGCAATATGTAGTAACATGTACTAGTGATTATCTTTTTGTATTTTAGTCGATGCATGTCGAATAGCTTGTTCACCTTTTTAAGAAAAATAAGACTTTGATCGGCAAACATAAAGTCTCCAGTTTGGGACCCTTCCCAACTCCTTGAATATGAAAATCCAGAGCCAACAGGTGCATCTATAAATATTATACTTGCAACCTATAAAAATCAATGGAATTTCCCACAGGAGAGAATGAGAAAATAGTAGGAGCAAAAGAGGAACTATAATATATATTATAACCACAAAAAACAAACAAAAAAACAAGTAGATAATGAATTATGAATACCTTTGTCCACGAGTTTGGATTTAGGTTTAATGTTGGTAAGGTGCCATTGTACTCAACAATGTTAAACCGAACAGGACCTATATTAGTATATTACAAACCAAGTTCATCAGAAGCAAATTATTCACAATGAGGAGACTTTAATTTCTTTCCAATCAGAAAAAAAGAAAAGAAAAGTGCCTCTTCAAATTAAGGGTTTGTCTTTGAAAGAAAATCTTAGCTCAGCTACTGCAGATGTTGTTATTATACAACAACGGGTTTCTTTATTAGTTGTCTTGGCTCTAAATCAGTTTGGCATTGTGTACAAGTTACAATATTCGTTGTAAACTATGTTGTAAGTCAAAAACTAAAGCGACCAAAAGTAAGTATGCGTTGGGTAATCACAAGGAAAATTCAATTGTTTTGAAACCATGGATACCTTATTTCAAATTTTTACAATCTTAATTTTGACTTCAAAATTCCCAAAATTCATTTACAATCTTAATTTTTACTTCTAATTATACTTAAGTATTTAATTCATACATAATATATAAATATTTTTGCTTGTATCCATTATTTCGAATTTTAAAACTCACATCAGCAAAAAGAAAGATCATGTACTAAAGTTTACATATTTGGATGAAGAAAAAAAGCCTAGAAAAAAGAAACGAAAAAGATAGTAAAAGAAAAGGAAAAATACGTGACTTTTAGAATTTATTATAATATTAATTTAGTCTAAAATTTTGATTTTACTCAAGCCTGAGGAAAAAGTTTTGCAGAGAATGTCACATCATACTGTACCATCATATTTAGATTTAGAGACTATAAATATATCATTATGATATTGAGTAGTAATCACCGTGATACCGTGATATCTGTTTGGTTCATAGATTAGAACCATGTGATTAGAATCATTTTCGATTTACGTGTATTTTTTATGAGAGAAAATACTGTAGCGAACCACGAATCATGATTCGAATCAGGGAACGAATCCCTCTACCAAACATCACCTGGCCGTGAGATATAGGGCGGGTTTGGAACTCGCTTCAAAATGATTTTTTATTTTTTGTATAAAAATGAAAATGAAAACGAAAATGTTTTCAATCTCAGACAGAAATTATTTTTGAAAATGCGTTTGGTAATTTTATCAAAAGATTATTTTCAGTATAAAAAAACCCATTAATATCTCTCTCTTTCTCTCTACTCGAGAGAGAAGAAAACGAAAACAAAAAATGAAAAACGACTAAAAGTCATTTTTCATTTCTCTCACATTTTACACAAAATTAAAAAATCGTTTTCATTTTTTTTTTGTCTTTATTACGCCAAACTCCGTTTTACAAATATTTTTATTTTTTTTCTTAAAAAACGTGAAAAATAAAGATGTGATCAATTCCAAACACAGCCTTAGAGATCTCTCAGCTTAGAGTAAATCTCACCAGTGATCTCCTCCGCATGACAATCATGGTGCAAGGGCTCTCGCGCACGGTGGAGATCTCACCAGTTAACTCCTCCGTGCAGCCACTGAGGTGCAAGATAGATTGCATGCGGATGAGATCCCACTGGAGCCACGAGTAGATGCCACAAAGTCGAGCTCGTCGCTGTAATCACCTCGGTCGATAGCATTGTGCCAACAAGATCTGCCTTTTTTATGGTCACAGGCGAGTGATGACCGAGTTGTTACGGTTATTTATAGTCACATAATCTCAATTTTTTAACCACATAGTAGAAAAAAAAAAAAAAAAAAAAAACCGAACATTTCTACCCCACGGTATAAATCAATCCATACCTAAAAAATGTGGCGTGCCCACAAATTACTTCTATATATTAGGGCGGGACAATATATCCAAACATTTTTTCTGATCAGGTAGCTCACTTTCTTGGTATATACAAAACGGCACTAATAAGATTAATTAGTCAAATATATATTCGATAGAAGCACAACACACGAATTAGGAAACTCAGAACCATCCTTAGCAAAAATTAAAAAAAAAAAAAAGTTAAAACAAAAAACAAAAGAAAGAAAGGAAGGAGAGGGAGAGAGAGAGCTGAGATATTTGCCTATCTCGAAAGCAAACGAAGAGAGACCAGAGCAGCCAGGCCCTCCACTGAACCAGATCATAAGAGGATCATCTCTTGGGTTCCCTTCAGATTCAACAAAGTAATAGAATAACTGAACATCTTCCTTCTCGTCCACTGCTATGTATCTGCAAAATGTAATGCCACTACTTAAACTTTGCTCCTTTTTTGTCGTACTAGTTGTAGTACGTAAATATATATATGTGTGTGTGTGTGTGTGTAGAGCATACAAGGTAGACCCTCACCCAGTTTCATATTTGAAAGGAAGGGAACCGGGAAATCCTGGCAGGGATTTGACTATCGATGAAGAAACTACAGAATAATATTCTGAGAAAAGTGTTAAGAAAATGATGAGATGACGAATACTAATTATGCAGTTGAAAACTTTGGCGAAAAGCCTTGTAGCCATGTTTACTTCAAAGAGCGTAAATTTTCTAGGATATCTATTTGCAAGAAGAAGGATGGTCCTTACATATAATGATAGTCGAAGCTAGACGGTGAAAGAAATATTGGTGAAGAAAAATACAAATTAACCATATCCCGGAAATCCCGAGGAGCACATGCTTCTTCTTCTTCTCTTTTTTTTTTTTTTTTTTTTTTTTTTTTTTTTTTTTTTTTGTTGGCATGGATACGTACATCTTGAAGTCCTAGTTAAAGTACAATCTTTTGAGATATCAAACTAAATTATACAACGTCTTGACCAATTAAATATTAAAAAATGCCCTCAATTAGTTTTAAAAACTATCTAAAAATAAAACTAAGTGAATTTTACACATAGGGATCTGCGGTTAAGTGGAGTAGTTTAGCAGTCGAATCACGTGGGTTGTTTATTATTATTATTATTATTATTAAAACACTATTTTTCCATTGTCCGATTCCTAATACAAGTACCCATCAAAGCATAAGAACCCACGTGACTTCGTATCTATGAAATACCATATCTACCAATTGCGTGACTCCGTATCTATGAAATACCATATCTACCAACGTGACTACAAACATATCTAGCATTTCTACCAATACTTGATTGAACGAAATATCATATCTATGTTGAGTGAAATGAACGATGCCTAACTTGACTTAACACTAAGTCCAAGGAGGTGCAGTCATCGTTGGCGCTGCATACTTCCCATTTTCTTCCAGAGTCTCTTACACATTCTTCACTACTACCGCACTTGCACGGTAAAGAGAGTACCGTTGACAAGTAGGTTTGATAGCTTGTGGCTTTTGTAAACATATATATCTACTATCATTTTGATGGAATTAGAGATGTCAAATGAGACGGGACAAATGGTGTCTTCTCTCGCACATATATAAGACATGGTGCGGGACGACTTAAGGCCCACTTTTTGAGTGGAGCGGTGCGGATCGGTCGAGTCGACTTAAAATATCAGCCGTTCATGTCCATGATCTTCTTCGTGCTGCTGTAGTCGTACTTCTTCACCACCTCTCCCCATCTGTTGTCGTTTTCACTTTTAGAGCTGAAAATTGTATACCATCAAAAGAAACAAATTAGGTCACCCAGATCAATCAGAATTCAAAAAAACCTCAAGAAAAAGAAGTACTGGAGAGGGGAAGTGCAAGAATGGGCTTGGGCTTGTTTTACTTATGGGCTTAGGCCCTTTTTCACTCTTGGGCATTGGCGCTGCAGAACGGTGCATATGGGATGCCTTTGCTGAAACTACATGTAGGTAGCCCCGTTCATTTTATCGAATTGAGTTTAGAATTTGAGTTTTGTTAAAGTAAAAAATTTTCAGACATAATCACATCTAACCTTTTTACTACAATAAAAAATTCTCACACAAAATTATATCTCAACTTGAATCAGTGAACTAAATGAGTCCGAAGTATCACTGAGGTCTGGGAGCAAACTTTTGTTTTTGTTTTTTTTTTGTGGAGAGAATTCACTGAGCAGACTCCAATTAATCGCATATTGGCATGCAGAGAGCAAACATAAATTGCATGTGCCATACATTACGCACAGCCCAGGGAGCATTCTCTCTAACTAATCTTAAGGGCTGTTTATATGGAGATTATAAGTAATTGGACTTAGCTACTTTTGTCGAAGCTTATTCTTTCATCACACAATTATTTTACTTTCTAGAAAGTTAGAAACGTAAAGTAAAAGGAAAAAAAAAGTATGAAAAAAACATGTTAGTTTTTCTAAAAGAAAAAAAAAACTTTTCATTTGTGAAAAATGAGGTTTCGGAGAGGAAAAAAAAAATCCAACAGTAAAAGGATGATCTAAGACGTCCTACTCAGCGTAAGGTTCCGCTCCATTTGTGGGCTGGAACAAATAATGGACTTTAAGCCTAAATGTCAAAAAAAAAAAAAATGAAAGACATGCTGCTCACGTGGGCAGCAACAAACCAGTAAAATAAAAAAGAAAAAAAGAAGGAGAGTCAGAACAGTGGCAGCCGAGGAAACTAGAGAAAGAGAATGGAAGAAAAGGAGAGAGAGAGAGAGAGAGAAAAAGTAGAGTTTTGGTGCTTGTGCAAGACAATTGGATGGCGAAACGTATCGGTTCCGGTTCAAATTTGACGTGGAGAATCCTTGTGGCAAGCTCTTCTCATCTATTGGACTTGATTTCTTATAGTACTCTCTTGAGTATTCCTAATTTGGTGAGACCTAATCTTTTCTTTGGTGTTATTGTTATTTTTCATATTTGAAGATGATGTCAATATTGTTGGTGAACCAAGAATAGTGTTTATTAATGATATTATTGTTGTGAGTCTCTAGTTTGATTCTAGGGAGAAACTTTGTAATCTCATTGTTAATATAGTGGAAGAAATTTAAGTGGCTTAAGGGTTCCGTGATTTTTACTCTCAATTTGAGAGGTTTTGTACGCTAAAAATTGGTGTTTCATTTGTGGTTGATTAATTAGTGCATTGGTCGTTTGGCTTTATTGGCATTTTACTTGAGATCCTATTTTAGCACACAAAGAGGGAAAGTTTTTTTTCCGCAATTATTAGTATTAGTTTTCCCAACAAACTAGGTATCAGAGCCTTTGGTTGGCTAAAGGCTAATTCTTGTGTGTTGAAATGGAAGAACAAAATTCGTATGGGATGATAAAATTAACCTCATCGAATTATTCCATTTGGAAGCGCAAAATGAAAGATTTGCTTATTATTAAAGATTTGTATGGGCCTGTTATGGGCAAGTCAAAGCCAGAAAAAACAAGTGATGATGATTGAAAAACATTACACATGAAAGCTGCTGCTACGATTAGGCAGTGGGTTAATATTAATATTTTTAATCACATTTCTGAAGAAATGGAAGCCGATGCAGTTTGAAAGAAATTAGAGGCTATGTATGAGAAAAATACCTTTAGAAATAAAGCCTCGATCATTAGAAGACTTGTGAATTTGAAGTACAAAGATGGAAAAAGCATGACTGAGCATACTAGTGATTTCCAAGGCTTGGTGAACCAATTGGCCGTAATGAAAATGCCTTTTGAAGATGAGTTACAAGCATTGTTACATCTTAGCTCCTTGCCTGACAGTTGAGAAATTTTAGTGGTATCACTAAGCACTTCAGCGCTTGGAGGAAAGCTAACCATGGAGACGGTTAAAGAAAGTTTGTTGAGTGAAGAAGCCAGAATAAAGGAAAAGGGTGAATCTTCTTCTGAGGTACTTGTTTCTGAAAAACAAGAAAGGCGTGGAAGAAGTAAAAGTAGGCATCCTCAGGGTCATGGCAAAAAGGATACATCTAGAGGAAAATCTAAAAATAGGAAAAATATCAAGTGTTATCATTGCAAAAAGATGAGTCACAATAAGAAAGAATGTAGAAATTAGAAAAGAGAATAGGGTGAAGGAAATAAAGATGAGAAAGAGACTAATACAGTAACCGTCGAAGGTGATGTCACCATCATTTGTGATGACAATTGTGTTAGTCTTGTGTGCCAGGAAAGTGATTGGGTGATTAATTCTGGCATTTTGTTTCATGTTACTCCTCATGGTGATTTCTTCACTTTTTACTCTACCGGTGATTTTGACAATGTTAAAATGGGGAACAGTGGTGCCTATAAAATTGAGGGCATTGAAGATATTTGCTTAAAAATTAATCTTGAAAGCAAGTTGGTACTCAAGGATGTTAAACATGTTCCGGATATTCGCCTAAACTCTGTCGCAGCAACTTGAAATAAACAAAAGAGAAAGCGACAACTCTGCCTCTGCTTTTGGATTGAAGGGAAATCAATTTCACAAAGGACAATTCAACTTCAGTAGGCAATGCAAATATGCAATACCGTTCAAATAAAGGATGAGAACTAACCATAAACTAGTGCTACTCCTAAATTACTTTCCCGAAAAAGTTTTAACAAAAAATGAAACCTGTTACGATCTCTATGTGTAAATTATTATTTCAGCCACTAAAGAAACCAGAACACAGAAAATTGATTGCGTGAATATAGAACGAAGCAGAAGGAGCTTAAAAGCCAATCAGTTATACTAAGAAAAAAGCCAACAATTGGCAGTGATGGCAAACAAAAGTCTCTATCAAACCTGTCATTTCAAGAATCCAAGTCCAAAACCCTAAAAGTAACAACTAAGAAAAAAGGGGAAAAATTGCAGTGCTTGAATTAGATTAGGAAAAAAATAAATAAATTTTGACAAAACCTAACCCCAAAGAGAAAGGAGTCTAAAATCTCAAATCCAGCATGGTAATTTCAACAAATCCAAGTTTGAAATTGCAAGATAAAGCAAACAAAGAAACGCACCATACTTGATATCTCTATGACACCACAACCTTCAGCCACTCGTAGACTTGTAGAGCTTGGATTAGATTAGGGGTAAAAATAAATAAATTTTAACAAAGCCTAACCCTGAAGAGAGAAAGGATTAAAAAATCTCAATCAAGTACAATAATTTCAATAAATCGAGGTTGGAAATTGCAAGACAAAGGAAACAAAGATCTTGTAAAGCAGAAAGTCAAATCACCAATAAAATTGTAAAGCTCGACAGTTCTTAACAATTATTTTAATCACGTTTGATTTAACAAAAGAAGTACAAAATAGGAAAAATTACGTTTACTTACCTTTGAATTGTCAATCTTATCAAACTCACCTTGTCCCGTCTGTCATCCTTCTCCATGCTTAGTGACTCCTCCAATTCCGTTTCACAATCCTACCAAAATAACATCAATACCCTAAAATACACTATCCGGCTAGCATATGTTAGATACAAGAGGCTTGGCATGTAATTTATTTGAAAAGTTGGCAGTTTAAAAGTTGTTCTTCAGAATTTGCATTTGAAGTTATAGATTGCTACTTGTTCAGCTCTTATCCGAAGGGTTGATGGAAGAACATGAAGATATTAATGGAAGAGATCGTTAGATCAGTTAAGCATGTATCAAATCACAATTGTAAGTCATACAGTATCTTTGTCGTATGATTTGGAATTGTGATTTTGT